CGCTGACCCATAATGCATTCATTCATGACATGTGATCGCATTAGCCAATCAGCAGCCAGCCAGCCAGCACTGTGTAATGGTGGAGCTATAAATTGTGGCCATCTTACAATTCTCCATTTGCCTCCGGTCATTCAAGAGAGACAGACCTCTCTGTATTAGGGACAGAGTTAGGGCCACAGATACTTTAGGGACACAGAATCGTTACTTAGGGACACAGAACTGTTACTCAGGGACACAGAACTGTTACTCAGGGACACAGAAATGTTACTCAGGGACAGACACAGAATTGTTACTGAGGGACACAGAATTGTTACTGAGGGACACAGAATTGTTACTGAGGGACACAGAATTGTTACTCAGGGACAGACACAGAATTGTTACTGAGGGACACAGAACTGTTACTCAGGGACACAGAACTGTTACTCAGGGACACAGAACTGTTACTCAGGGACACAGAATTGTTACTCAGGGACACAGAACTGTTACTCAGGGACACAGAATTGTTACTCAGGGACAGACACAGAATTGTTACTGAGGGACACAGAATTGTTACTGAGGGACACAGAATTGTTACTCAGGGACAGACACAGAATTGTTACTGAAGGACACAGAACTGTTACTCAGGGACACAGAACTTGTTACTCAGGGACAGACACAGAATTGTTACTGAGGGACACAGAATTGTTACTGAGGGACACAGAATTGTTACTGAGGGACACATAATTGTTACTCAGGGACACAGAACTGTTACTCAGGGACACAGAATGTTACTCAGGGACCCAGAACTGTTACTCAGGGACAGACACAGAAATGTTACTGAGGGACACAGAATTTACTGAGGGACACAGAATTGTTACTCAGGGACAGACACAGAATTGTTACTGAGGGACACAGAACTGTTACTCAGGGACACAGAATTGTTACTCAGGAAAGACACAGAATTGTTACTGAGGGACACAGAATTGTTACTGAGGGACACAGAATTGTTACTCAGGGACAGACACAGAATTGTTACTGAGGGACACAGAATTGTTACTGAGGGACACAGAATTGTTACTCAGGTACACAGAATTGTTACTCAGGGACACAGAATTGTTACTCAGGGACACAGAACTGTTACTCAGGGACACAGAATTGTTACTCAGGGACACAGAACTGTTACTCAGGGACACAGAATTGTTACTGAGGGACAGACACAGAATTGTTACTGAGGGACACAGAATTGTTACTGAGGGACACAGAATTGTTACTCAGGGACACAGAATTGTTACTCAGGGACACAGAACTGTTACTCAGAGACACAGAACTGTTACTCAGGGACACAGAACTGTTACTCAGGGACACAGAATTGTTACTCAGGGACAGACACAGAATTGTTACTGAGGGACACAGAATTGTTACTGAGGGACACAGAATTGTTACTGAGGGACACAGAATTGTTACTCAGGGACACAGAATTGTTACTCAGGGACACAGAACTGTTACTCAGGGACAGAGAATTGTTACTCAGGGACACAGAACTGTTACTCAGGGACAGACACAGAATTGTTACTGAGGGACACAGAACTGTTACTGAGGGACACAGAATTGTTACTGAGGGACACAGAATACTTACTAAGGGACACAGAATTGTTACTCAGGGACACAGAACTGTTACTCAGGGACACAGAATTGTTACTCAGGGACACAGAACTGTTACTCAGGGACACAGAATTGTTACTCAGGGACACAGAACTGTTACTCAGGGACACAAAATTGTTACTCAGGGAAAGACACAGAATTGTTACTGAGGGACACAGAATTGTTACTGAGGGACACAGAATTGTTACTCAGGGACACAGAATTGTTACTCAGGGACACAGAACTGTTACTCAGGGACACAGAATTGTTACTCAGGGACACAGAACTGTTACTCAGGGACACAGAATTGTTACTGAGGGACAGACACAGAATTGTTACTGAGGGACACAGAATTGTTACTGAGGGACACAGAATTGTTACTCAGGGACACAGAATTGTTACTCAGGGGACACAGAACTGTTACTCAGAGACACAGAACTGTTACTCAGGGACACAGAACTGTTACTCAGGGACACAGAATTGTTACTCAGGGACAGACACAGAATTGTTACTGAGGGACACAGAATTGTTACTGAGGGACACAGAATTGTTACTGAGGGACACAGAATTGTTACTCAGGGACACAGAATTGTTACTCAGGGACACAGAACTGTTACTCAGGGACAGAGAATTGTTACTCAGGGACACAGAACTGTTACTCAGGGACAGACACAGAATTGTTACTGAGGGACACAGAACTGTTACTGAGGGACACAGAATTGTTACTGAGGGACACAGAATACTTACTAAGGGACACAGAATTGTTACTCAGGGACACAGAACTGTTACTCAGGGACACAGAATTGTTACTCAGGGACACAGAACTGTTACTCAGGGACACAGAATTGTTACTCAGGGACACAGAACTGTTACTCAGGGACACAAAATTGTTACTCAGGGAAAGACACAGAATTGTTACTGAGGGACACAGAATTGTTACTGAGGGACACAGAATTGTTACTCAGGGACACAGAATTGTTACTCAGGGACACAGAACTGTTACTCAGGGACACAGAATTGTTACTCAGGGACACAGAACTGTTACTCAGGGACACAGAATTGTTACTCAGGGACAGACACAGAATTGTTACTGAGGGACACAGAATTGTTACTGAGGGACACAGAATTGTTACTCAGGGACAGACACAGAATTGTTACTGAGGGACACAGAATTGTTACTGAGGGACACAGAATTGTTACTCAGGGACACAGAATTGTTACTCAGGGACACAAAATTGTTACTCAGGGACACAGAACTGTTACTCAGGGACACAGAATCGTTACTCAGGGACACAGAATCATTGAATTAAAGAGTATGTCAGACAACACGCAGAGGAGTGGCAGAGGAGGCAATGTTTCAGGAGCGAGCAGACGTGGCAGCAGAGGAAGGGGTCGAGGCAGCACTAGTCGCAGCCAGAGGCCAGTGCTCCCGGTGTCATCCAGCGGTCGTGTCTCCACCGACAACCCTGCCGTCATCGATTGGTTGGCTCGGTCGTCTTCCTCTTCCCAGGTCACCTCTGACACCTACAGCCAACGGTCGGTGGGTACGTCAGACACAACCGTTAGTTGGCATGGCCCGGGAGCAAGCCCACTGAAATCACGTGTCCTCTACCTGCCCCTGTCCTTTGGTGTTCCTCACCAAGCGAAGTATCGCATGCTGTGGGCTCAGCCCCACTGTACAGTGAGGAAGAGCTAACAGAGGGCGGTCAGGAACGGGGGGAGACATCCGCCTCTTCAGCAGCCAGGCGAAGAAGTACTGGCGAGGAGAGTGGCTCGGTAGCCGGTCTAGAGACAGGTCTGTCTCCTGACCCACACGCAGCCGAGGGGGCTAGTAGTGAGGCGGAGACGCTAATTGATGATGATGAGGCTGATCGCACTTGGCAGCCTCGTCGTCATCAGGCTATTGCTTCCGCATCATCAGGAGAAGAGGGTGCCAGCTTGGCAGCGAGCAAAACAGTCGGTGGGTTGCCCAGGAGGCAGCAGTGGGGTCGCAGCAGTGTCAGTGGAGGCAAACGGCCACGGAGTAGAGCACCAGCTCCACTGCTGGTGGGTTCCATTTTGTCATAGGGTGCTGGCAGATTACGGGCCTCCCATTGCTGCTGCCAGGCCCCTAATCTGCCATGGGCCCCTGTACCGCCTCCTCACGCTGCTGCCAGGTCCAGAGTGTGTCATGGGTCCCTGTACGGCCTCCCATTGCTGCTGTCTCCATCGCCACACTCTGCCATGTGCCACTTTCAGGTCTCCTCACACTGCTGGTGGGTTCCATTTTGTCATAGGGTGCTGGCAGATTACGGGCCTCCCATTGCTGCTGCCAGGCCCGTAATCTGCCATGGGCCCCTGTACCGCCTCCTCATGCTGCTGCCAGGTCCAGAGTGTCTCATGGGTCCCTGTACGGCCTCCCATTGCTGCTGTCTCTATCGCCACACTCTGCCATGTGCCACTTTCAGGTCTCCTCACACTGCTGGTGGGTTCCATTTTGTCATAGGGTGCTGGCAGATTACGGGCCTCCCATTGCTGCTGCCAGGCCCCTAATCTGCCATGGGCCCCTGTACCGCCTCCACATGCTGCTGCAGGTCCACAGTGTCTCATGGGTCCCTGTACGGCCTCCCATTGCTGCTGTCTCCATTGCCACACTCTGCCATGTGCCACTTTCAGGTCTCCTCACACTGCTGGTGGGTTCCATTTTGTCATAGGGTGCTGGCAGATTACGGGCCTCCCATTGCTGCTGCCAGGCCCGTAATCTGCCATGGGCCCCTGTACCGCCTCCTCATGCTGCTGCCAGGTCCAGAGTGTGTCATGGGTCCCTGTACGGCCTCCCATTGCTGCTGTCTCCATCGCCACACTCTGCCATGTGCCACTTTCAGGTCTCCTCACACTGCTGGTGGTTCCATTTTGTCATAGGGTGCTGGCAGATTACGGGCCTCCCATTGCTGCTGCCAGGCCCGTAATCTGCCATGGGCCCCTGTGTACCGCCTCCTCATGCTGCTGCCAGGTCCAGAGTGTCATGGGTCCCTGTACGGCCTCCCATTGCTGCTGTCTCTATCGCCACACTCTGCCATGTGCCACTTTCAGGTCTCCTCACACTGCTGGTGGGTTCCATTTTGTCATAGGGTGCTGGCAGATTACGGGCCTCCCATTGCTGCTGCCAGGCCCCTAATCTGCCATGGGCCCCTGTACCGCCTCCTCATGCTGCTGCCAGGTCCACAGTGTCTCATGGGTCCCTGTACGGCCTCCCATTGCTGCTGTCTCCATCGCCACACTCTGCCATGTGCCACTTTCAGGTCTCCTCACACTGCTGGGTGGGTTCCATTTTGTCATAGGGTGCTGGCAGATTACGGGCCTCCCATTGCTGCTGCCAGGCCCCTAATCTGCCATGGGCCCCTGTACCGCCTCCTCATGCTGCTGCCAGGTCCACAGTGTGTCATGGGTCCCTGTACGGCCTCCCATTGCTGCTGTCTCCATCGCCACACTCTGCCATGTGCCACTTTCAGGTCTCCTCACACTGCTGGTGGGTTCCATTTTGTCATAGGGTGCTGGCAGATTACAGGCCTCCCATTGCTGCTGCCAGGCCCGTAATCTGCCATGGGCCCCTGTACCGCCTCCTCACGCTGCTGCCAGGTCCAGAGTGTGTCATGGGTCCCTGTACGGCCTCCATTGCTGCTGTCTCCATCGCCACACTCTGCCATGTGCCACTTTCAGGTCTCCTCACACTGCTGGTGGGTTCCATTTTGTCATCGGGTGCTGGCAGATTACGGGCCTCCCATTGCTGCTGCCAGGCCCGTAATCTGCCATGGGCCCCCGTACCGACTCCTCATGCTGTGACGTTGCAACAAGGTGGAATTCAACCCTACATATGTTAGACCGCCTTTACGAACAGCGAAAGGCCATCACCGATTTCCTGATGTTACAAGCGGATAAAGGTACTCCCCTGTGTAACTTAGATGTCAGCCATTGGCAGCTCATGCGTGACACCTGCCGCTTGCTCAGGCCCTTTGAGGAGGCCACGCTATTCGTGAGTCGGCAGGACTATGGGATGAACGACGTCATTCCTCTGTTGCACGTCCTGGAACAAATGCTGTTAACAATGGCAGGTCAGGGTGCGGTAGACGTGGCGCACAGATCTCAACGCCACATGACCCCTGTGGGGGCAGGACAGGAAGAAGAGGAGGAGGTAGAGGAGGACATTGGTGCTCAGGAATTATTGAGTGAAATGGGTGGTTTTTCCACTCAGCGGACAGGAGTGGAGGAGCAGGAGCATCTGGTAGAGGAGGAGGAGGAGACAGAGGACCCAGACGCACCGTGGCAGTATGCTGTGGAGATGGAGGCAGGGAGTCCCTCGCATTTCTTGGCACAAATGGCCCATAGCATGCTCGGTTGCTTGCGTAGCGACAGCTGAATAATAACCATCAGACAGAGGGATGACTTTTGGCTGTCCACCTTGTTGGACCCTCGCTACCGTTCAAAAATGGTGGCCTTTTTCACACCTGCTGAGAGGGAGGCCAAAATAACGTACTATAAAAACCACCTATGTAGTCAGTTGGTCTCTGCCTTTCTGCGCCAACGTCCATCCTCAGACACTGTGGGCCCTGTGCGCTCGCGTTCCGCTGCCATGGCAGCAGGGGAGGGGTGGGGTGGTAGGAGCAGTGGCAGCTCCACCAGCAGCGGCTGCCTCAGTCTGCAGTCGTGATGAGTAGCTTTCTTCACCAGCGCAGTGAGGAAACTACTAACCAGCCGCAGCAGCAGCAGCATCAGGTGGACCTGGAGCAGGAGCTCAAACAACAGGCTTGGGCCTACTTGGACAGCACCCTGCCAACCGAGGTAGACAATCCCCTTGACTACTACTGGGCAACGAAACTTGACCTTTGGCCCCAACTAGCTGAATTTGCCCTTGAAAGGCTGTCATGCCCGGCCAGTAGCGTGGCATCGGAGCGCGTGTTTAGTGCGGCAGGAGGTATTGTAACTCCGCGGAGGACACGACTGTCCACCCAAAGTGTGGAGAGACTCATGTTTGTGAAAATGAATCAGGCGTGGATTAGTCTGGATTTCAAACCACCAGTTCCTGACACAACTGACTAAATCCGCCATGAATCATGCCCCAAACATGTGCCACTTTCAGGTCTCCTCACACTGCTGGTGGGTTCCATTTTGTCATAGGGTGCTGGCAGATTACGGGCCTCCCATTGCTGCTGCCAGGCCCCTAATCTGCCATGGGCCCCTGTACCGCCTCCTCACGCTGCTGCCAGGTCCAGAGTGTGTCATGGGTCCCTGTACGGCCTCCCATTGCTGCTGTCTCCATCGCCTCACTCTGCCATGTGCCACTTTCAGGTCTCCTCACACTGCTGGTGGGTTCCATTTTGTCATAGGGTGCTGGCAGATTACGGGCCTCCCATTGCTGCTGCCAGGCCCCTAATCTGCCATGGGCCCCCGTACCGCCTCCTCATGCTGCTGCCAGGTCCAGAGTGTGTCATGGGTCCCTGTACGGCCTCCCATTGCTGCTGTCTCCATCGCCTCACTCTGCCATGTGCCACTTTCAGGTCTCCTCACACTGCTGGTGGGTTCCATTTTGTCATAGGGTGCTGGCAGATTACGGGCCTCCCATTGCTGCTGCCAGGCCCCTAATCTGCCATGGGCCCCTGTACCGCCTCCTCATGCTGCTGCCAGGTCCACAGTGTGTCATGGGTCCCTGTACGGCCTCCCATTGCTGCTGTCTCCATCGCCACACTCTGCCATGTGCCACTTTCAGGTCTCCTCACACTGCTGGTGGGTTCCATTTTGTCATAGGGTGCTGGCAGATTACGGGCCTCCCATTGCTGCTGCCAGGCCCCTAATCTGCCATGGGCCCCTGTACCGCCTCCTCATGCTGCTGCCAGGTCCACAGTGTCTCATGGGTCCCTGTACGGCCTCCCATTGCTGCTGTCTCCATCGCCACACTCTGCCATGTGCCACTTTCAGGTCTCCTCACACTGCTGCTGGGTTCCATTTTGTCATAGGGTGCTGGCAGATTACGGGCCTCCCATTGCTGCTGCCAGGCCCCTAATCTGCCATGGGCCCCTGTACCACCTCCTCATGCTGCTGCCAGGTCCACAGTGTGTCATGGGTCCCTGTACGGCCTCCCATTGCTGCTGTCTCCATCGCCACACTCTGCCATGTGCCACTTTCAGGTCTCCTCACACTGCTGGTGGGTTCCATTTTGTCATAGGGTGCTGGCAGATTACGGGCCTCCCATTGCTGCTGCCAGGCCCGTAATCTGCCATGGGCCCCTGTACCGCCTCCTCATGCTGCTGCCAGGTCCACAGTGTGTCATGGGTCCCTGTACGGCTCCCATTGCTGCTGTCTCCATCGCCACACTCTGCCATGTGCCACTTTCAGGTCTCCTCACACTGCTGGTGTGGGTTCCATTTTTGTCATAGGGTGCTGGCAGATTACGGGCCTCCCATTGCTGCTGCCAGGCCCCTAATCTGCCATGGGCCCCTGTACCGCCTCCTCATGCTGCTGCCAGGTCCACAGTGTCTCATGGGTCCCTGTACGGCCTCCCATTGCTGCTGTCTCCATCGCCACACTCTGCCATGTGCCACTTTCAGGTCTCCTCACACTGCTGCTGGGTTCCATTTTGTCAAAGGGTGCTGGCAGATTACGGGCCTCCCATTGCTGCTGCCAGGCCCCTAATCTGCCATGGGCCATTATACCGCCTCCTCATGCTGCTGCCCAGGTCCACAGTGTGTCATGGGTCCCTGTACGGCCTCCCATTGCTGCTGTCTCCCATCGCCACACTCTGCCATGTGCCACTTTCAGGTCTCCTCCTCACACTGCTGGTGGGTTCCATTTTGTCATAGGGTGCTGTATGGCCTCCCATTGCTGCTGCCAGGCCCGTAATCTGCCATGGTCCCCCGTACCGACTCCTCATGCTGCTGCCAGGCCCGTAATCTGTCATGGGCCCCTGTACCACCTCCTCATGCTGCTGCCAGGTCCAGAGTGTGTCATGGGTCCCTGTACGGCCTCCCATTGCTGCTGTCTCCATCGCCACACTCTGCCATGTGCCACTTTCAGGTCTCCTCACACTGCTGGTGGGTTCCATTTTGTCATAGGGTGCTGGCAGATTACGGGCCTCCCATTGCTGCTGCCAGGCCCGTAATCTGCCATGGGCCCCTGTACCGCCTCCTCATGCTGCTGCCAGGTCCACAGTGTGTCATGGGTCCCTGTACGGCCTCCCATTGCTGCTGTCTCCATCGCCACACTCTGCCATGTGCCACTTTCAGGTCTCCTCACACTGCTGGTGGGTTCCATTTTGTCATAGGGTGCTGGCAGATTACGGGCCTCCCATTGCTGCTGCCAGGCCCCTAATCTGCCATGGGCCCCTGTACCGCCTCCTCATGCTGCTGCCAGGTCCAGAGTGTGTCATGGGTCCCTGTACGGCCTCCCATTGCTGCTGTCTCCATCGCCACACTCTGCCATGTGCCACTTTCAGGTCTCCTCACACTGCTGCTGGGTTCCATTTTGTCATAGGGTGCTGGCAGATTACGGGCCTCCCATTGCTGCTGCCAGGCCCGTAATCTGCCATGGGCCCCTGTACCGCCTCCTCATGCTGCTGCCAGGTCCAGAGTGTCTCATGGGTCCCTGTACGGGCCTCCCATTGCTGCTGTCTCCATCGCCACACTCTGCCATGTGCCACTTTCAGGTCTCCTCACACTGCTGGTGGGTTCCATTTTGTCATAGGGTGCTGGCAGATTACGGGCCTCCCATTGCTGCTGCCAGGCCCGTAATCTGCCATGGGCCCCCGTACCGACTCCTCATGCTGTGACGTTGCAACAAGGTGGAATTCAACCCTACATATGTTAGACCGCCTTTACTGCGTCTCAGCGAAAGGCCATCACCGATTTCCTGATGTTACAAGCGGATAAAGGTACTCCCCTGTGTAACTTAGATGTCAGCCATTGGCAGCTCATGCGTGACACCTGCCGCTTGCTCAGGCCCTTTGAGGAGGCCACGCTATTCGTGAGTCGGCAGGACTATGGGATGAACGACGTCATTCCTCTGTTGCACGTCCTGGAACAAATGCTGTTAACAATGGCTGGTCAGGGTGCGGTAGACGTGGCGCACAGATCTCAACGCCACATGACCCCTGTGGGGGCAGGACAGGAAAGAAGAGGAGGAGGTAGAGGAGAGGACATTGGTGTGCTCAGGAATTATTGAGTGAAATGGGTGGTTTTTCCACTCAGCGGACAGGAGTGGAGGAGCAGGAGCATCTGGTAGAGGAGGAGGAGGAGACAGAGGACCCAGACGCACCGTGGCAGTATGCTGTGGAGATGGAGGCAGGGAGTCCCTCGCATTCTCCATCGGGCACAAATGGCCCATAGCATGCTCGGTTGCTTGCGTAGCGACAGCTGAATAATAACCATCAGACAGAGGGATGACTTTTGGCTGTCCACCTTGTTGGACCCTCGCTACCGTTCAAAAATGGTGGCCTTTTTCACACCTGCTGAGAGGGAGGCCAAAATAACGTACTATAAAAACCACCTATGTACGTCAGTTGGTCTCTGCCTTTCTGCGCCAACGTCCATCCTCAGACACTGTGGGGGCCCTGTGCGCTCGCGTTCCGCTGCCATGGCAGCAGGGAAGGGGTGGGGTGGTAGGAGCAGTGGCAGCTCCACCAGCAGCGGCTGCCTCAGTCTGCAGTCGATGATGAGTAGCTTTCTTCACCAGCGCAGTGAGGAAACTACTAACCAGCCTCCTCATGCAGCAGCCAGCAGCAGCATCAGGTGGACCTGGAGCAGAGCAGGAGCTCAAACAACAGGCTTGGGCCTACTTGGACAGCACCCTGCCAACCGAGGTAGACAATCCCCTTGACTACTGGGCAACGAAACTTGACCTTTGGCCCCAACTAGCTGAATTTGCCCTTGAAAGGCTGTCATGCCCGGCCAGTAGCGTGGCATCGGAGCGCGTGTTTAGTGCGGCAGGAGGTATTGTAACTCCGCGGAGGACACGACTGTCCACCCAAAGTGTGGAGAGACTCATGTTTGTGAAAATGAATCAGGCGTGGATTAGTCTGGATTTCAAACCACCAGTTCCTGACACAACTGACTAAATCCGCCATGAATCATGCCCCAAACATGTGCCACTTTCAGGTCTCCTCACACTGCTGGTGGGTTCCATTTTGTCATAGGGTGCTGGCAGATTACGGGCCTCCCATTGCTGCTGCCAGGCCCGTAATCTGCCATGGGCCCCTGTACCGCCTCCTCTCATGCTGCTGCCAGGTCCAGAGTGTGTCATGGGTCCCTGTACGGCCTCCCATTGCTGCTGTCTCCATCGCCACACTCTGCCATGTGCCACTTTCAGGTCTCCTCACACTGCTGGTGGGTTCCATTTTGTCATAGGGTGCTGGCAGATTACGGGCCTCCCATTGCTGCTGCCAGGCCCGTAATCTGCCATGGGCCCCCGTACCGCCTCCTCATGCTGCTGCCAGGTCCAGAGTGTGTCATGGGTCCCTGTACGGCCTCCCATTGCTGCTGTCTCCATCGCCACACTCTGCCATGTGCCACTTTCAGGTCTCCTCACACTGCTGCTGGGTTCCATTTTTTGTCATAGGGTGCTGGCAGATTACGGGCCTCCCATTGCTGCTGCCAGGCCCCTAATCTGCCATGGGCCCCTGTACCGCCTCCTCATGCTGCTGCCAGGTCCACAGTGTGTCATGGGTCCCTGTACGGCCTCCCATTGCTGCTGTCTCCATCGCCACACTCTGCCATGTGCCACTTTCAGGTCTCCTCACACTGCTGGTGGGTTCCATTTTGTCATAGGGTGCTGGCAGATTACGGGCCTCCCATTGCTGCTGCCAGGCCCCTAATCTGCCATGGGCCCCTGTACCGCCTCCTCATGCTGCTGCCAGGTCCACAGTGTGTCATGGGTCCCTGTACGGCCTCCCATTGCTGCTGTCTCCATCGCCACACTCTGCCATGTGCCACTTTCAGGTCTCCTCACACTGCTGCTGGGTTCCATTTTGTCATAGGGTGCTGGCAGATTACGGGCCTCCCATTGCTGCTGCCAGGCCCATAATCTGCCATGGGCCCCTGTACCGCCTCCTCATGCTGCTGCCAGGTCCAGAGTGTCTCATGGGTCCCTGTACGGCCTCCCATTGCTGCTGTCTCCATCGCCACACTCTGCCATGTGCCACTTTCAGGTCTCCTCACACTGCTGGTGTTTCCATTTTGTCATAGGGTGCTGGCAGATTACGGGCCTCCCATTGCTGCTGCCAGGCCCCTAATCTGCCATGGGCCCCTGTACCGCCTCCTCATGCTGCTGCCAGGTCCACAGTGTGTCATGGGTCCCTGTACGGCCTCCCATTGCTGCTGTCTCCATCGCCACACTCTGCCATGTGCCACTTTCAGGTCTCCTCACACTGCTGGTGGGTTCCATTTTGTCATAGGGTGCTGGCAGATTACGGGCCTCCCATTGCTGCTGCCAGGCCCGTAATCTGCCATGGGCCCCCTGTACCGCCTCCTCATGCTGCTGCCAGGTCCACAGTGTGTCATGGGTCCCTGTACGGCCTCCCATTGCTGCTGTCTCCATCGCCACACTCTGCCATGTGCCACTTTCAGGTCTCCTCACACTGCTGGTGGGTTCCATTTTGTCATAGGGTGCTGGCAGATTACGGGCCTCCCATTGCTGCTGCCAGGCCCCTAATCTGCCATGGGCCCCTGTACCGCCTCCTCATGCTGCTGTCAGGTCCACAGTGTGTCATGGGTCCCTGTACGGCCTCCCATTGCTGCTGTCTCCATCGCCACACTCTGCCATGTGCCACTTTCAGGTCTCCTCACACTGCTGCTGGGTTCCATTTTGTCATAGGGTGCTGGCAGATTACGGGCCTCCCATTGCTGCTGCCAGGCCCCTAATCTGCCATGGGCCCCTATACCGCCTCCTCATGCTGCTGCCAGGTCCACAGTGTGTCATGGGTCCCTGTACGGCCTCCCATTGCTGCTGTCTCCATCGCCACACTCTGCCATGTGCCACTTTCAGGTCTCCTCACACTGCTGGTGGGTTCCATTTTGTCATAGGGTGCTGTATGGCCTCCATTGCTTCTGCAGGCCCGTAATCTGCCATGGTCCCCCGTACCGACTCCTCATGCTGCTGCCAGGCCCCGTAATTTGTCATGGGCCCCTGTACCACCTCCTCATGCTGCTGCCCAGGTCCGTAAGTGTCATGGGTCCCTGTACGGCCTCCCATTGATGCTGTCTCCATCGCCACACTCTGCCATGTGCCACTTTCAGGTCTCCTCACACTGCTGGTGGGTTCCATTTTGTCATAGGGTGCTGGCAGATTACGGGCCTCCCATTGCTGCTGCCAGGCCCGTAATCTGCCATGGGCCCCTGTACCGCCTCCTCATGCTGCTGCTGCCAGGTCCAGAGTGTGTCATGGGTCCCTGTACGGCCTCCCATTGCTGCTGTCTCCATCGCCACACTCTGCCATGTGCCACTTTCAGGTCTCCTCACACTGCTGCTGGGTTCCATTTTGTCAAAGGGTGCTGGCAGATTACGGGCCTCCCATTGCTGCTGCCAGGCCCTAATCTGCCATGCCATGGCCCCTATACCGCCTCCTCATCATGCTGCTGCCAGGTCCACAGTGTGTGTCATGGGTCCCTGTACGGCCTCCCATTGCTGCTGTCTCCATCGCCACACTCTGCCATGTGCCACTTTCAGGTCTCCTCACACTGCTGGTGGGTTCCATTTTGTCATAGGGTGCTGTATGGCCTCCCATTGCTTCTGCCAGGCCCGTAATCTGCCATGGTCCCCCGTACCGACTCCTCATGCTGCTGCCAGGCCCGTAATTTGTCATGGGCCCCTGTACCACCTCCTCATGCTGCTGCCAGGTCCGTAATCTGTCATGGGTCCCTGTACGGCCTCCCATTGCTGCTGTCTCCATCGCCACACTCTGCCATGTGCCACTTTCAGGTCTCCTCACACTGCTGGTGGGTTCCATTTTGTCATAGGGTGCTGGCAGATTACGGGCCTCCCATTGCTGCTGCCAGGCCCGTAATCTGCCATGGGCCCCTGTACCGCCTCCTCATGCTGCTGCCAGGTCCACAGTGTGTCATGGGTCCCTGTACGGCCTCCCATTGCTGCTGTCTCCATCGCCACACTCTGCCATGTGCCACTTTCAGGTCTCCTCACACTGCTGCTGGGTTCCATTTTGTCATAGGGTGCTGGCAGATTATGGGCCTCCCATTGCTGCTGCCAGGCCCCTAATCTGCCATGGGCCCCCGTACCGCCTCCTCATGCTGCTGCCAGGTCCAGAGTGTGTCATGGGTCCCTGTACGGCCTCCCATTGCTGCTGTCTCCATCGCCACACTCTGCCATGTGCCACTTTCAGGTCTCCTCACACTGCTGGTGGGTTCCATTTTGTCATAGGGTGCTGTATGGCCTCCCATTGCTGCTGCCAGGCCCGTAATCTGCCATGGTCCCCCGTACAGACTCCTCATGCTGCTGCCCAGGCCCGTAATCTGTCATGGGCCCCTGTACCGCCTCCTCATGCTGCTGCCAGGTCCAGAGTGTGTCATGGGTGCTGGCAGGATTACTCCACATTGTACGGCCCTAATCTGCCATGGGCACAGGTACCGCCTCCGTCATGGTCATGGGTCCCTGTACGCCTCCCATTGCTGCTGTCTCCATCGCCACACTCTGCCATGTGCCACTTTCAGGTCTCCTCACACTGCTGGTGGGTTCCATTTTGTCATAGGGTGCTGGCAGATTACGGGCCTCCCATTGCTGCTGACAGGCCCCTAATCTGCCATGGGCCCCCGTACCGCCTCCTCATGCTGCTGCCAGGTCCAGAGTGTGTCATGGGTCCCTGTACGGCCTCCCATTGCTGCTGTCTCCATCGCCACACTCTGCCATGTGCCACTTTCAGGTCTCCTCACACTGCTGCTGGGTTCCATTTTGTCATAGGGTGCTGGCAGATTATGGGCCTCCCATTGCTGCTGCCAGGCCCCTAATCTGCCATGGGCCCCCGTACCGCCTCCTCATGCTGCTGCCAGGTCCAGAGTGTGTCATGGGTCCCTGTACGGCCTCCCATTGCTGCTGTCTCCATCGCCACACTCTGCCATGTGCCACTTTCAGGTCTCCTCACACTGCTGCTGGGTTCCATTTTGTCATAGGGTGCTGGCAGATTACGGGCCTCCCATTGCTGCTGCCAGGCTCCTAATCTGCCATGGGCCCCTGTACCGCCTCCTCATGCTGCTGCCAGGTCCACAGTGTGTCATGGGTCCCTGTACGGCCTCCCATTGCTGCTGTCTCCATCGCCACACTCTGCCATGTGCCACTTTCAGGTCTCCTCACACTGCTGCTGGGTTCCATTTTGTCATAGGGTGCTGGCAGATTACGGGCCTCCCATTGCTGCTGCCAGGCCCGTAATCTGCCATGGGCCCCCGTACCGCCTCCTCATGCTGCTGCTGCCAGATCCAGAGTGTGTCATGGGTACCTGTACGGCCTCCCATTGCTGCTGTCTCCATCGCCACACTCTGCCATGTGCCACTTTCAGGTCTCCTCACACTGCTGCTGGGTTCCATTTTGTCATAGGGTGCTGGCAGATTACGGGCCTCCCATTGCTGCTGCCAGGCCCGTAATCTGCCATGGGCCCCTGTACCGCCTCCTCATGCTGCTGCCAGGTCCACAGTGTGTCATGGGTCCCTGTACGGCCTCCCATTGCTGCTGTCTCCATCGCCACACACTCTGCCATGTGCCACTTTCAGGTCTCCTCACACTGCTGCTGGGTTCCATTTTTGTCAAAGGGTGCTGTATGGCCTCCATTGCTGCTGCCAGGCCCGTAATCTGCCATGGTCCCCCGTACCGACTCCTCATGCTGCTGCCAGGCCCGTAATCTGCCATGGGCCCCTATACCGCCTCCTCATGCTGCTGCCAGGTCCAGAGTGTGTCATGGGTCCCTGTACGGCCTCCCATTGCTGCTGCCAGGCCCGTAATCTGCCATGGGCCCCCGTACCGACTCCTCATGCTGCTGCCAGGCACGTAATCTGTCATGGGCCCCTGTACCGCCTCCTCATGCTGCTGCCAGGTCCAGAGTGTGTCATGGGTCCCTGTACGGCCTCCCATTGCTGCTGTCTCCATCGCCACACTCTGCCATGTGCCACTTTCAGGTCTCCTCACACTGCTGGTGGGTTCCATTTGGTCATAGGGTGCTGTATGGCCTCCCATTGCTGCTGCCAGGCCCGTAATCTGCCATGGGCCCCCGTACCGACTCCTCATGCTGCTGCCAGGCCCGTAATCTGTCATGGGCCCCTGTACCGCCTCCTCATGCTGCTGCCAGGTCCAGAGTGTGTCATGGGTCCCTGTACAGCCTCCTATTGCTGCTGTCTCCATCGCCACACTCTGCCATGTGCCACTTTCAGGTCTCCTCACACTGCTGGTGGGTTCCATTTTGTCATAGGGTGCTGTATGGCCTCCCATTGCTGCTGCCTCCACCGCCACATTGTGGCTCCACACTCTGGTTTTGGCCCCGTGACTGCCCAAATGAGTGAAGTGTGCGGTGATTCTAAGATCGACGGCACTCATCTGCATGTCATACTGACTGACAGTATTATTTCTCTTCCCCAGCAGACTCCAAGGGCATTTAAATTAAAGGTACAGTGTTCTGCACTAATATAAAGGCTCTCTGAAGCCTAGAAACACCCTTTTATAAGTTAAATTCGCAGCGAATATATTCGACTCGAATCAAATTTTTTCCACGAATTCGCCGAATCAGTCGAATCGAATTTTTGAATAATTCGCTCATCTCTAGTTATAACATTTAATAACCTGTTTGCCCATTGCTGTACTTCTTAGATGGTGCTTCGTTGTCTTTCCCTAATGGGATCACACAGGAGCGATGGGGGAAACCACATACGATTCGGACATTTACAAAGCATTCCTGTTCAAATCGCATGCAATTCTTTACAGTGTGATTTGAGCCCATTCATTCTGTACGGGCTCAAATCGCACCGCAAAGGTATTGGTACTCGGTATCGGTGAGTACTTGACCAAAAGTATCGGTACTCATACACACCAGTAAAAAAAAGTGGTATTGGTGCAACCCTATTAGCAACTCTTTTCAGGTCACCCTGAATTTTTTTGGGGGATTTAGGTGAGGGCTTTGACTAGGCCCTTGATAGCAATTTTGTTTATACACAATAAACCAATAATTAAAAATAAGAGAAGCACGTGTTCATGTTCTTAGTTGGCTCCTGTTTATTTCATATATCTTGAAGACTTCGAGAGTGATATATCTCTTCTATAGTTCATAACTCTGTTCCTTCTTTCCTGGAAGTTTTGGGTTTTCCAGTTCACCTTTCTGTATTCCTGTCTTCCAGTTACATTTTCCACGGTATGATATGATAGTGGGATCCCCTTATAATGGGCAAAGAAGGTGAAGGTGAGCAAACTTGGGAACACTGCACAAAAATTCTGCCAATAGAGTCCCTGAGAAATAGACTGTCAGGTAGTTTAAGGTCTTCTTCAGGTGGGTTTCAACTTATATGACAGCAGTGTGTACAATAAGCTTTTGAAATGAATTTACAAAGTTTTAAAAAAAATTTGAAGGACTTTGTCCATCCCTATATAAGAATAAAGCTGGACTGCTGGATTCATCAATGTTGTCCCCCCATTGACCACAATTGAAGACACAGACCACATGCACCATGGACTTTAAAAGGCTACAGCAGCACTTTTTTAACCATTATTATGAAATAATTGAAATAAATAAATAAATAAAACATTCCGCATAAATAGCATTACCATTGGTGCATTCTTAGAGAGAGTCTTTGGTGTCTGCTAGCCTAAGGATTGGCTATGATCCGGCCTTTCCCAGGCTGCACCCTGCTAGCTTGAAAACAGCTCCAAATTGTCCATTCCCTGCCATTCCAAGGGATGTGCCCTGGTGAAGACAAATGATACCACAATGGGAAAGCATCATACTACCACTTAGCCCCCCCCCCATTTTGAAGCCACCCACTTTTTCACAGAACCACAAAGACCCCCTAACCACCAAGTTGCCATGACAAGCCTTCCGTAGTATTACCCAGCTGGTGTACTAGAAATGAGGGGGGGGGGGTTAAACAAGTTTCCCCCTTGTTCACATTTCTGGAATTTTCAATTTCCAGACAATTAGCTCAGCTCTTGCTCCTGTGGCTCCTCCCAAGCACTTTACCATTAACCTCCAATCAGGTAGGACCTCCTGCACCTATACTGCCACACACATTTGAACTCATTTTTGGGACTATTTCTTCCTCGCTCTTGTAACCCCTCTGTTAATTTTATTCATCTGGGTATTTGTTCAGCTCCAGTATTGGAATCTATTGGGATACATCTTGATGGGGGTGCTGCCACTTCATACAAACAAATAGCAGGCTTTAGCAGGATTTCAGCAAGCTTTGAGTAGCGCTGACACTTAATGACGTCTACAAGAAGCTTGTTCAAAGTAGACACGTGCAGTTTGTGTCGTTCCGAATCCAAATTCAGATGAAATTTTCATTATTTGAAGATTCAGATGTATCTGATTTTCTGAATTACAATAGTAATGAATTGAAATGAATCTGAAACAACTAAACAAAATTTTGACTGAAATTCAAATCAAAGTCAAATTGAATTAGAAAGCAAAACCGAATTTAAGAACAAATTTGAAATGTAAACATATTATTGACTATTGCTGATTTCCTTCAAAGACTATCTATCTATCTATCTATCTATCTATCTATCTATCTATCTATCTATCTATCTTTTTATTCATATCTATCTATCTATCTATCTATCTATCTATCTATCTATCTATCTATCTATCTATCTATCTATCTATCTATCTATCTGTCTGTCTGTCTGTCTGTCTGTCTGTCTGTCTGTCTGTCTGTCTGTCTGTCTGTCTGTCTGTCTGTCTGTCTGTCTGTCTGTCTGTCTGTCTGTCGATCGATCGATCTATCTATCTATCTATCTATCTATCTGTCTGTCTGTCTGTCTGTCTGTCTGTCTGTCTGTCTGTCTGTCTGTCTATCTATCTATCTATCTATCTATCTCCATACCCATCCCATTAATTTTTTGCGTAAATATTAGCACATTTTCTGTATGCTGAATCAACAGTGTCATTACACATTGTGCAAAATAATCAATAAATTGCATCAAGTTAACCACCAGGGGACCGCCCACAGTACATTTACTGAGACAAAGCGGCCCCTGTGCACAGGATCAAGCTTATAAACATCATTTTGTTTACATGGTAGGGGGCGCGCGCGCGAGTCGTGCAACCGTCCTACCAGCGTCACCAATCGCAGCCGTGAGTGTCAATCACCGGGTCCCAGCTAATAATTACCCACCGGAGCCTGGCGATTGCCGGCAAACACTGACAGGGAGGATGGCTGCATTGTTTTCAATGCAGCTCTGCTCCCTGTCAGTTTCCAGCACACTGTTCCAGAGAGCAGAGCTTAGCTTTCCGGAACAGTGTGCAACTGTGAAGAACACACCCCCGCCCACTAGTAAAACACTCCCCTCACACAGTTAACCCTTTGATTGCCTCCAAAAGTTAACCCCTTTTTCCCCAGTGCCTTTAATACAGTGTCAGGGCTTTTTTTTTGCACTGATCACTGTATTGGTGTCACTGGGGATGTCAGTGACCTCAAGTCAGTTCCCCCCCAGTGTCAGAATGTCCGCCGCAGTCCCGTAGTCCCGCCATAAGTCACTGATCGCCGCCATAAGTCACTGATCGCCGCCATAAGTTGCTGATCGCCGCTATTATTAGTATTAAAAAATACACTATCTATCCGACCATTTGTAGACACTATAGAATTCATGTAAACCAATTAATTTACACGTATTGGGATTTTTTTTTAGCAAAGACATAGAGCAGAATACATTTTGGCCTAAATTTATGATGAAATTTGATTTTTAAATTTTTTTACTTGACATGTTTTATAGCAAAAAATCTTTTTTGAGAAAAAATATTGCTTTTTTTTCTCAAAATTGTCGGTCTTTTTTTTATAGCACAAAAAATATAAAATGCACAGGTGATCAAATACCACTGAAAGGATGCTCAATTTGTGGGGAAAAAAAGATGTACATTTACTTTTGGTTCAGCGTTGCATGAGCGCGCAACTGTCAGTTAAAGTAACACTAACCGCTTCTGGAACTGCTTCCTGTGCTGCCCTGTAGCAGAAATACTGCTACAGGGCGGCACAGGTGCGCAAAATCACATATATATATACGTGATACGCGCTCCTGTGGTTTTCACGCCCCTCCGAGATGACGTCAGATTGCCCGTCAGTATGTACACCAGTCATCACATTTAACCCCTTGATTGCCAGGAAGACACTCATACATAATAAACCTCCATTGCTAGTATAGTGCCTGAATGGATCAATATCTTTGATCAGATCAGCACTATACCAGCGATCACATTAGTATAGCGTCCCCAAAAATGCAGCGTTAGTGGGATCAGCCCCTGCACCTGCCAACACCTGCGTTTATCCCCTACGCTTACCCCCCCCTTCTCCCCCAGCAACTGCAGTGTCAGTAGGTCACTGT